TCGGTATCTCCGAGGGTGTCTGTTGGGTTGGCATGGATCAAGACTGGGATTTGTCACTCCATATGATGAAGAGGTATCTCAGGGCCCACTCGTAATACAGCATCACAATAAGCTTGCAAGCAATGTGTCTAATGGGTTAGCCACGGGATCTTGTAATACGGAATGAGTAAAGAGACTTGCTGGTAACGAGATTGAACTAGGTATGGAGATACCGACGATCGAATCTCGGGCATGTAACATACCGATGGACAAAGGGAACTACATACGGGATTAGCTGAATCCTTGATATCAAGGTTCGACCAATAAATATCTTCATAGAATATGTGGGAACCAATATGGGCATCCAGGTCCCGCTATTGGTTATTGACCGTAGAGGTGTCTCGGTCATGTCTGCATAGTTCTCGAACCCGCGGGGTCTACACACTTAACGTTTGGTGACGATATAAGTATAGTTGAGTCATTATGGTGATTACCGAAGGTCGTTCAGAGTCCCGGATGAGATCCCGGATGTGACGAGGAACTCCGGAATGGTCCGGAGGTGAAGATTCATATATTGGACGAAGGGTATTGGAGTCCAGAAGTGTTCTGGGGGTACCGGGTGATGGCCAGCATAACCGAAAGGGGTTTTGGGGGCCCCGACAAGTGTTGGCGGGGGGCCTCATGGGCCAAGGGGAGGGGGAAAACCAGCCCACTAAGGGGTTGTGCGCCCCCCTCACCCCATCTCATGTAACCAGGATTGGCGGGGCACCCCCTCTAGGGTTCCCTCCACCTGGCTTGGGAGCAAGCTACCCTAGGGTTTCCCTTGGGGGCGCCCCATCTGCCTTGTGGCCGCCGCCCCCTTAGATGGGATCTAGGGCGCCCCCTCCTCTCCCTTCCCCCTATATATAGACAGGTAGAGAGAGGGCAGCTGCACCCATACGCATCTATACGTGCCACGACGCTGCTGCTCCTCTCCCTCATAGCCATCTTTTCTTCGTAGTGCTTAGCGAAGCTCTGCTGAGATTTCTCTACCACCGCCGTCACCACGCCGTCATGCTGTCGGAGGACTCGAGCTACTACTTCACCATTGCTCGCTGGATCGAGGAGATGAAGGCGTCATCAAGCCGTACGTGTGTTGAACGCGGAGGTGCCGTCCGTTCGGCACTTGGATCGGAGTTCGCGGGACGGATCGAGATTGAATCGCGAAGACGTTCGACTACATCAACTGCATTTCTTAATGCTTTCGCTTAGTGATCTACAAGGGTATGTAGATCCAATCTCTCCTCTCGTAGATGGTCATCTGCTAGATTGATCTTGGTGAGCGTAGGAATTTTTTGTTTCCCATGCAACGTTCCCCAACAGAGGATGCCCCCAACCGCACGCTTGGATTAAAAAAGGCCGACCGCCGTCGCTGACGCGTGGGCCCGAGGTCAGTGGTCGTCATTAACAAAGACGATGGAGGTAGTTGGGCGGCCGCCATGTGGGTACGTGGCAGACACCGAGATGATGTGCGGCGCGTTCGCTTCGCGTCCGTGCCGACGCATTTCAGCCGCAAATGGGCCCACGCAGACATGTTTTGGGAATGTTCTACGCGTTGGGCCATCACTTTTGCCTTGGGAGACACCGTTCATCCCGCATTTTAGTGAGAAGTCGTCATCATAGAGCAAACATAGGCTCCTGGGGGAAATATAATATTGGATGGGCCAGATATGTCTTAATTTGCCAAATAATTTTCCTTATATTTAAGTTCTGCAGGATGTACTAGAGATGCCTTATATCTTAGGAATGGGGTGGTATATCCAGCTCGGATTTTAGACTTGTCATACATGTATTATTAGGTTAACTCATTACACGAGGAACCAAAAATGTGGTACCGGATGAGTGTATTTTCACACTCATACCACCATTGTTTAAACAGAATAACCCTGGACATTCCAAGAATATCACTGCGATCTTGTCACTAAAGAGTAATAAGTGCAAAAGATTGCAAATCCCATTATGTAGTTTTTTCACATGAAATGGACTATCATGCAAATATAAAGTGTGGAGATCAAGTCAAGCCAATTGGACGCGTTATAGATGATCCAACAAAGAAGATGATGTCTGGTACCCACTGATGTACCATGCGCCAGCAGGTCTATAACGTCATCCCCGACACACTATGAAAATCCCTAGGCCCCATTCGCAACAAAACAATCACCAAACCTATGAAGAGCAAAACAGTCGCTAGGATCACCACCACCATTCTGAGAAACCCTAGCCGCCGCCATCGCTACCGTCATCTCCATCTCCATAGTCATTCTCCCATAGTTTTCCATACTTGTAGTCAATTCATCGCATACGACGACATTGTAATACTATATACAATCATTCATCTATCAATGTCATCTACAATATTTTTCATATGTGATTTGATTTCGATGTGTGAGTGATCCCCTCGGGCCATGGGTTGAGGCATAGCCTTGCAACCATATGTACTTGTGCACAAGATCATTGGTATTGACTTTGCTTAATTGAATGTTAGTTGTACATGTTATTCACAACAGATTTGTCTTTGTCTTTCTCATTCTAATGCTCAACGGGTACCTGGTATGCCTTTGACCGATCTAGGAGGAGGTAAAGTGCAGGGACGCGTGAAAAGCTACACCGAACGCCGATGACAATAAGGATTAGTAGGGTAGCCAAAAGCAACTTCTTGGGGACCATCTACGCGGGCCGACAGATCTGGAGGGCGTCTACAAGCGGGCATGGTGGGCATGACGGCACCGGCTTAGGCACCGTGGTGGTGCCGTGGCCGGTCAGGCGGCGGCAACCTGGATCCATCGTCCAATCCCCGACAGAGATGGCAGCGATCCGTGCACGAGATGCTTGATGGAGGTCCTTCGAACAGATCCAGGTGAAAACTTGCTTTCTACTTACTGCCAAAGCCGGCGGTGGCGGCGCTATTTTGCGACATTCCCTTCTTGAAGGCATCGCCGAGGAGAGTTTCAAGGTCACTGTTTGCTACCTCCGGGGGAAACCCTAGATCAGTAGATCGGAAGACAGCGGCGTTCTTATGTCGTTTCCCCCTTGGGGGCGTCGTTCTTGGAGGTGTGCACGGGCTCGAGGGACCAGTGGACCGCATCTTTGGTGGAGCGGCGCTTCATTCTACACATTAATGGCGAGGGATCTCGACGGCGTGGCACAGTGCAGATTCGGCATCAGATGTGTGAGGATGGACTCGCGCAGGAGGACGATGCTGCCTGGCGTTGTGGCGGCGTCGATGGCAGAGAGACTGGCGCGGTAGATGCAACAGTACAACTCTGAAGATGGATTTGTGGCAGGTGGCTGCGGCAGCCTTATACCCGGCAGGCGTCCTGATTGAGGAGTGCGTTGGACTGCTGGGTGCCCCATACCTGTCAGGCGTCCTGATTGGGACCTCAGGTCTTAGCTGTTAGGTTTGGCTGCGAGGTCTGTTTGGTATTAGGCCCAGACTATCAATATCCCTACATCAACTGGATAGGAATAGCGAAAGATGTTTCCTAGATGGTGGCTTAGCCTTACTGTTGTATGACTTTGTAAGGTATTATGTGAATAATTAATAAAGTGGTTGCATGCATCGTCCAGATGCAGAGGCCGGGGGTCCTTCTCCATTTTTTAAAAGATGAGTGCAGTAATTAAATGTCCAGTGCGTTGGTCCGGAGAAATCCTTCAACTGAAGTAATCCCGCGCGATGGTAAGGACATTGGTTGGGCAATATAATCACGATGCAAGTGGTATCCCCAACCCACCAGGGTTCATATCCTGGTGCTCGCATTATTCCTGGATTTATTTCAGGATTTCCGGCGATACGCTTTCAGTGGGAGGAGACGTTCCCGTCGACGACGAGGCGCCTACAGTGACTTCGTAAATCTCAAGATGATATGCCGGCTCAGTCTCTCGGAGGTGCTCATAGGGGTAGGGTGTGTGCGCGCGTTCATAAGGGTGAATGTATGCACGTGTATATGAGCGCTTGTGTCTGTACTGATGCTCAAAAAGTTGTTAATCGGTAGTGACGTCATTTGGATGAGTCCCCCCACATCTACACGTTGAAAACACATAATAACAATGCCACCATGACTATTGAAAATCAAGAAAATATCCTATGCGCAAGTATAGCCTCTTTGATTCGTAGGATTGCAAAAACACAGGAATAGGGAAAACGTAAGATTGAAATGGCATGTCCATTGGATTCCTATAGGATTTGAGTTTGTTTGATTGTGGCATGGGGAAAGCAAAGAATTTCTTTCAAGAGGTTGGAGTGGATGTTAGAATTCCTGTGAAATGCAGTACAAATAAATCCTTAGGAAAAAATCCTATAAGATTTAATCCTACGAATCAAACGAGAAAAATTCCTAAGGATTCCAATCCTTCAAAAATCCTATAAAAATCATTTGAATCAAAGAGACCCTAAAGTTGTGAGTAAAGTCCACATGCCCTAGACTATTTCATACTCCCTCGTCCCAAAATAAGTCTGGCTGATTTAGTACAAAATTAGTACAACTAATCAACGGCACTTATTTTGGAATAGAGGAAGCATTATTGATCTCTCTTCATACAACTTGCGATATTTGGTACAGAAAGCCAAAACTCTTAATGACAATGATAGCTTGTTTGAATCACTATCTACTAGCAGAACATTCCGTGGGTTCGACATTCACGTTCACCCTTGAAGAAGAAAAAACAGAAACTATCTGCAATCCGAAATTGGATTAAAGGTAATCAGTACCCAGTATTGCACTACAAGCCCCGCAACAGAATTCTAGTATTACAACAACCATGGCTGAACTCTACATTCCACATCAGAAAGAAATAGTAGGAGTATATTTCACAATCAAAAGAATATGAACTCTGCTGAGTGCCCAATGCCAAATAATGTCCCAAAAAATGGGATTACAGAAGTTCGAAGTTGAATCAATGGCAAAAACCTTCTTAATTTCACACAATTTACATTCCCAAAGATCCTCGCTTACTTTTCCCCATCATCATCTGTCGAACCACCCCTACTTGCACCACCCAAAGCACCAGCGACTCTGCAGGCGAAACCAACAGAGACTAATTCAGAACTCAAATTCATGGCGAGTCAGTGAGATCGATCACCGAATAAGAAAACGAGGATCAACACGAACAAACCAATGGCGACATGGGCATGAAGTTGTGTTGTGGAACTCACCGAGGAGACGTAGCCGTCGTCGTGCTGCCTGCGGCCGTTGCCATAGGCGACGTTGTCCTTGCCGAACCCCGGTGCCTTGGCCTGGGTGCTCTTCTCCTCCCTCACCTTGTTGAAGATGTGCGTGTAGCCGTCCGCCGACGCCGGGTTGGAGTCCCAGTCGCCGAACTTGGGCACCGCTGACCCCCTCGTCGGCTGCCATCGGTCGCAGCAACAACCAAAGTAAGATACAAGACATCACCTCCGCGCAAAGCCATGGCACACTGACCGGAGCAGAGCAGAGCAGAGGCTTACCGTTTCGTTGCCCCGCGAGGCGCCCCTGGCACGGGACCGGTCCACGGAGTTGGCCACGAGGCCGTAGCCGCTGCCATCGGAGTACTCGGCCCTCGACTGTCCGTACGGGTGCAGCGGGGACGGCCCCGGCGACTGCTCCACGCTATACCCGCCTCCGCCTGCCCGTCCGCCGCCAGGGCCTCTTCTCGGCGGCTCGCCACCGGCGTTGCGGTGGTACGGGGACAGCGGCGGGGCGACCGCCGGCGCGTCGCTGGGCCGGCGCTCGTGGTGGTGAGCGGGAGGCGGGGAGGCAGGAGGGAGAGCCGGCCTGCCCTGGTCGAAGGAGCGGTTCGGCGACGGCGCGACGACAGAGGAGGAGAAGGCCTCGGGGTTCTCGACGGGGTCGTTGGGGTTGATGGGCTTGCCGCCCTTGCCCTTGCGCGCGTTGTCGAAGTAGAGCGTGTAGGGGACGTTGCCGTCGTTGTCCCAGTTGCCGAACTTCGGGACGTGCGCGTTCTTCTGCTGCTTCTGCATGCATGGAACAGAAGAAGAGTCAACCACATGCTGCTTATTTCAGGGCACCTCGAGATTAAGAGAAAATCACAGCGATAACCATGATTTTTGTACTTTTTACGGACTATTTTTTACATTCAAAACACAGAATAAACACGCTAGAGAACTTGGGACCCAGTCCCAGGGTTAGAGAAAAATAAAGAAAAGAAAAGGAACAGCCTAGGGGACATCATCATTCCCTGACACAAGCGCTCCAACTTACCCAAGGAAGCTTCATGCTTGGTGATGATCATTAAGCCATGGTCTGAAGATTATTAACATGTGCGGGGACATCGGACATGTCAACTTGGCCCGGCCAAGTAGCAAGTGGTGGTCGTCGATTGGTACGACCGTACGACCGAGGAAAAAGGGGGCAAGAGAGAGTAGACCCCGCGCCACGGCTTCCAGGCACATTTTACACACTGTCATGGACTAATCAATGGAAAGTATACATGGACCAGTTGAATATGTACTAATCAAGAAGCTAATCGCATGCCGTGACCTCGCCACTTGGACGAGTTGAGGCCAAATTTCAGGGCGGGTTAATGCACTTCTAGATCAGGTTTGACAAATCTGTACTTCTAGATCAGGCCAGACTAAACGTCACATATCCTCCCATCGCAAGGTAGATAGCCAGGTAGTAGGTCTACCTCGCCGACACCTTCCAATTCCAAACCGAATCAGAAAATAAGGCAAGATTCGCCAACTGAATGATTGATTACGCACTAGTACAATTAAATCTTCATGTGATAGGTGAGGGTTAATGCTATTGATATTTTCATGCAATTACTAAGAGTTAACCTGCCGGCATCTCCATAATTTATGGGATGATTAGCCTTTCCACCAGAATATATGTAGAGATTCACCCGCAAAATGAAGATAATATATGTGTAGGTTGAGATGACAGATCTTAAGTGGATCGAAAGATACGCCTCAACGGCCAAGGAAGACTTTTGTCACCGCAAACTAGCTCTGCGATTCATCCACACAAGAATTTTCTACAGAACTTGGATTATACCTGGTGCAATTCAAATGGTGCAGAAGAAAAGGAACAGGTTGGCTCTGGATGATCATGTCTTAGAAAAACTTTTAGCCTGATTAAGCTCATGAATGATAGTACCAGCTAAATTTCTCTAGTACTATAAGCAGCCAACAAGGCAACAGTCATATCATAGCGATTTTGCTGTTTCTCCTTCAGAAAATTCAGGTTCCGGTATCCCTATTCGAACCGTACCACGAGAAACTACTGCACCTGTTATCTCTTGCGACAATCAAGATAAAACCAAGACACCGTTTGCAGGAAACATATGCTCTTGCAGACCAAAATAAGGCGTCGAATCAAGGCTCGGAGGAGCTATGGAGAGGAAAGGAACTTACAGCCATGGCGGTGGTGAGCGATACAAAGAGCGGAGAGGGGGATGAAGAAGGGATCCGGGCGGCGGGGGGCTCTGTGTTCTAGAGGCGAGTTGGTCGAACGGTGGCTCAGCTCAGCTCAGCTCTGCCGGCGGGAGGGAGGGGGCGAGGGGGATATATGCGCTGGTTGTTTCTTCCTCGTGGCTCCTCCTGATGGCCTGCCTGTATGTTAGCTAGCTGAGTCTGAGCGTGTTGATCAGCTCAGGCCGGCAGGCGGGATTATAACTACGAGACAGGGACGGATGGTTTGGTTGCCTTGTTCGCTGGTCGTTCCTCTCGGCTTTTTGCGTAATCGCCCCTCGAATCATTTGTACTAAGCACTTTGTACGTACTACTTATAGATTAGTAGATTAGATAGAGTAATATATTGAGCACGACTCTACATTTTTCTATAGCGCAGCCGCTCACGCCACACCCACACACGTGTAGCTATTTGCTAAGCATGACACCGACTGGATCAACGCGGTGCCGAGAGGGACAATGGCGGCTACGTGCATTGTATTAGTGTGTGTATATGCATATCTCTGGTATTTTCCAATGTAATTAATGGCAGAGAGAAGCCTTGACACAATCAACTGCGTACGTGCACAAATCATGGTGTAGCAAATTCTTCTTTTGAACAGTGGGCAGACGCTCCGGCGTAGACGATCAAAACAAATTGATCGTATCGTATACTGCTTGCTCAATAAACAACTGAGTCACCCTGCAAAAAAATAAAAAAATAAACAATGAGTCATCTAGTAGAAAACACGGAAACCATGGGGTGTAAAGGGAGAAAAATGCTGGAAAACAGGACCGTTGACGCGCTCCTGCTCGCCAATATGTGTGCCCAAAAAAGTGCACAACTGGCCGTGGCCGGGCCCGGTCGATCTATTGAAAAATCCTTGGCAAGCGCTTGCCATCTTTGACCGCTCCCCCCTCCCAGCTCGGCCTTGGCATCACCGTACCACCACCGGTCGCCGAGGTCCACCACCATCCAGGATAACAACCTCCGCCCCCACCGAGCCGCGATGCTTCCGAGCTCCACGCCGTTCGATCCCCGCCGTCGTGCTCGCGCGCACGCCTCGACGGCATTGCTACGGCGCACGGCGGTGTGCACGGCCGGCGACGCGGACTCTGCGTGTGGGTGTGTCTCGCCGGCTGTCGACCGACACGACGCCGGGCGTGTGGTGGTGGTGGAGGCGTGGCGCCTGCGCGTGTGCCGCCGCGTCGGGGGGTCTTGACGACGACTCGTTCCTTTTTTTTTTGCGCATGGACGACGACTCGTTCCTGATGCGCTGGGTGTTTTACGCGGGAGGGACGGGATCGAGCGGCGTACAGTTGAAAGCGTCAAGGCTCTCCGATGAGACGAAAGAGTCAAAATGATAATCAGGTCGGGAGACGGGAGGGATCGCTGGGTGCTCACTCTGTTTTGACATTTTCTTATTGTCAGACCGGTTTGACTTTGTGCCGTTCTCAAAGTCGCACACGTACTATCAAGCACAGCGATCGTAAAAGTCAGAGCCATGCCAACCGAGCCTAGCTCAGATTGTTAGTTCCTCTGATGATGGAACCAACCCATTAGGATTTAAGTCCTAGTCTTGACAGTGGTGGTAAAAAAAATTAGATTTATTTTACACCTTTCGACGATGTGCGTTGAGTGAAAGAAGATGTTCCCGTCGACTACAAAGACGAATGTGACGACTTTGTTAATCTCAAGATGTTGTGTCAGCTCTGTATCTTAAAGGTTTTTATAGGATACACCAGTAGAATGTGTGCGTGCGTTCATAGAGTTGAGTGTCTATATGTGAATTGGGTATTTGCGTTTATATTGTTTTCAAAAAATAAAAACTGAGCCGTATTAATGTGATAGCACTCGCGACTGATTTAGGCATTGCCGTATTAATGTGCCAGCACCCCCAACTAACACTATGAACACGCACACACACTCTACCTATTAAAACCTTGAAGAGACTGAGCCGTCATATCATCATAGGATTGTCAAAGTCACCACAGATGCGTTCGTAGTCTACAGGCATGTCTCCTCCCATTGAACGGACATTGCCGGAAGGCTTGGAATAAAGTCAAGAAAATGTGAGCACCACTGTAATATAAAACTTATACCCCAATGAACGGGGATATCAATGTCCTCTTAACCATTCAACCCCTGGTTGAATCGCAATTTGGTCAATTTTTACAATGTTTCACTTTGAGACAAAACTAAAAGGAAGGATTCCTTAAAAAACATATTATGAATATTAAATTCTTTAGATTATGGATATTATTGATACACGTGAGTTTTCTATGAAATTTTTCTTGAGTGCAAACTAAGAATTGCACTAAGTGGACGAGCAACCTGTAACGCCCCGAAACCGATGTACCAGGTGTCCTCCAGTTATTCGCTGTTGTTGTCTTGTCATTGCTTGCATGTCATGCATTGCATATCATGTCATCATGTGCATTTCATTTGCATACATGTTCGTCTCATGCATCCGAGCATTTTTCCCGTCGTCTGTTTTGCATTCCGGTGCTCCTATCTCCTCCGGTGGTCCTTTCTACCTTTCTTTCATGTGTGGGGGTTAAACATTTCCGGATTGGACCGAGACTTGCCAAGCGGCCTTGGTTTACTACCGGTAGACCGCCTGTCAAGTTTCGTGCCATTTGGACTTCGTTTGATACTCCAACGGTTAACCGAGGGACCGAGAAGGCCTCGTGTGTGTTGCAGCCCAACACCCTTCCAAAGTGGCCCAAAGCCCAGCTAAAACCTCCTCCATCATCTCGGTCGTTCGATCACGATCGCGTAGCCGAAAACCGCACCTTATTTGGACCCTCCTAACTCCCTCTACCTCTATAAATAGACCCCTTCATTTTCGTTTTCGGATCTTTCCCCGAAACCCTAGCTTCTTCCTCCTCCAGCCGACGGACACGTCCACCCTCTCGCCCGGACATGTCCGCCTCGTCCTGCGCCCAACCGCGCGCTGCCACCTGAATACCGCGCCTCCTCACTCTCCCCCGCGCCGCCGCGGCCCTGCGGGCCCACGGCCGGCCCGCCCGGCCCGACCGCGCCCCGCGCCTGGGCAGTTCCCTCGCCGTCGCCCGAGTGCATCGCGCCGCCGCCGAGCATCCGCACGACGCGCCGCCGTCCTTCGACACCGCGCCGGCCGCCGCCCACCGCTGCACCTCGCTGCGCCGGTCGCCGGTTGCCGCCGCCCGACGACTCCCTCGGCGCCCTCGCCGGAGTGCCCGCGCCTCCAGGCGCGTCCCCGTCGCCCGGATCCTGCCGGCGCCGCCCTGCCATGGCCTCCTCCGCCCTCGCCGGAGTCCTCCGGCGACCTCGTCAGATCCGGCCGCTGCCCCATCCCAGATCCGGCCGGGTGGGATGAGATCCACCCGGTCCCGAACCAAACAGCCCCGCGCCGCCCGGATCCCTCCGTCCCGGGATCATCTCGTCCAGTTGACTTTCTCGTGGAGTAAAAAAAATCCACTAAGTCCCCGAAATTCCCAAATGCATATGCCCATGTTTATCGTGCCGTAACTTTGCATCCGTAGCTTCGATTCATGCATATAGCATATCAAAATGTTCGTCTCAGAGAGGACATCATTTCATCTCATTGTATCATTTTCTTTTGAGTTCATCTTGATACCCTAAATGCTGTTAGAAGAGTGCTATTTGGGATAATTGTCAGATCTGCTGCTCCATTTAGATATTTGTCATTTTTGCCATGATTATTGTGTGCATGATATGCCCATGAGCTCTACATATGTTTTGTTAAGGGTTTTGCCATCTTTCCGGAGGTGCAACCCATGTATTTTTGTGATGGTCTAGCACAAGCTTGCCAAGTGAGG